AGTGGGTGTAAAAGGGTGCAAAGTGGGGGGATGAAAGAGGGGGGGGGGGGGGTTGTAGACACAGTGAGTGGTTGGAGAAGGGGAGCTACAGCCACAGTAGATGCTGAGAGAAATATAGGTGCAATGTGATGGGTAGTGAGAGAAGGGGTGATGCAGGCACAATGGGTGGTGAGAGAAGGTGATTCCAGGTGTGGTGAGTGCTGAAAGAAGGAGGGTTGCAGGTGCAATGGATTCTATAAATCGGCCAAACGGTGATTGCATTCTATCAGATGCATTCACTTCTCTGGTATTCAGACAGCTGTGGGTGCTGCGGCTGTCTGAATACAATAGCAGAGGAATCTATTTATCTCCTTTAATTCAGCCTGCAGATTGAATTTAAAAAAATCCATGTGTGTATGGCTAGGCTAAGTAAAGAACCTTTTTACAGTAAAATGCTGTCAAAATCAGCTTTCCAAACCTGGTGGCTTTTAAATAGTTTTGCCTCAAGAAAAATACAGGTTACACCTGGGACTGCAATGCATCTACTTTAGCTTTATGATGATCAGCAGTCGACTTGCTGTATTCAATACCATTATGGTAATAATGATGCAAACTTTGAAACTGCTAATTGAAGTCCCAAATAAGAATAAAAGTTAGAGTGTGGGGGATGATTATGACCCCTTTGTAAATAGGTGCACAGTCTGTCCTGCTTCCCCTCATTGGGTGCTGCTCATTCCTGTTGTGATCCATATTACTTACAGACTATTTTTTACTTACAGATCATCACTTTCACGAACTGCGCTTTTCTTCAGCTTTGTCGAGTCATAGTACTGCGGTATCGAGAGACCACTGAACAACAACAGAGACAGTCAGAGAATTACATACTATGTGATAGCTTTATTTTTATTTAACACATCTAGAAAATACATCTGTTTTCTAAACAAAGACTATTTTGAAAGGATGTGACAGATGTGCACAGCATACAGTAAAGAGTAAAATATATGGATAAAGTGGAAATCAAGGTGCAGGAATAAAGACACGCAGTAGTTCAGTGGAGGAATCCTCAGTATATACATCAAAAACTTTCAGTTCTAAAAATGAATTGTGACAGTACAATAAAATTGTCTTCTAAAATCAGATCACATGACCCTGCTTTCCCACTTCATATTTCAAAAGTTGCAGTGTAGGAGGAGGGGTCACTGCAGAGTCTATGTACCAGGTGATGTAGCCCCATGATATTGGGAAGAGATTTGCCACTAACATCTGCTCAATGAGTAAAACATCTATGTACAAGGGTAGAGGCGGAGAGACAGTGAGGTCGCTGGAGGGTTCTACCACCAGTGCACACCTTGAGCTAAGGTGAAAAAACTGTGGCCATACCAACACTACAGTCCTTAGAAACTCTAACCCATATTGGAAAATTTCTTTTGTGTCTATAATATCAAGAATTCTGACTTCAGAGTAAGAATGTAAAATGGAAAACACATTGATTAGAACTTCTGCAGATAACAATAACACTTGTCTAAACTTCTACTTTTATGTTTCTTTGGAATTGTCTTTCAGCGTTGACAGCACTTGCACTGTACTATTCCCAATATGTAACATCCACATCCACTGGCATTAAAAACGTGTATAAAAAGGCTTGCAGTTCTTAGGATTGAAAGAGTCCTAAAAGCTTTGAAGGAGCGGTCCTTTTATCTGCACAGAGCACCAGAGCTGCCATTCTCCCATTTATTTATTGATATGCGTGATTCACACAAGGTGCGTCATTCCCCAAATCCAGATGAAGCACTTTATGATTCTTATCAGCCAGGAGAACCTATAAGATTAGAATAAGACAGTAACTAAAGTCGATTATGTTACCCTGCTGCTTTCAGCTATAACTGGACTCCTGTATCTGCAACTAGACTATATCATGCACAAGTGTATAAGCCATTACAGAAATCTGCACTTATTTGGTTTTGATGTTTGCTGTGTTGAATACAACACATTTTCGTACTCTGACTTGTCTCTGATCTAATTGGAATAATGCTAACCGTGCACTATACAATCTGATTGTACAATCTCCTTTAGATATACCAGCAACTATGTAGTGCAAGAAACTACCTGGATTGGTACAATTGAAATGGATTTTTGGTAAAACTAAATTGTACAGTGGACGGTAAGCTTAAGTAAACAGCATAGTTGTAATCCTACTATGAGACTGTAGTTGATGTTGCAAAACAGTAACGTTGAAAAATATAG